CATTCATTATATTTATTTATAACTGTCTTGACAAGGGTGAAAAAATACTTTGATCTAAGAAGATTTTGGAATTTGATCATAAAGATTTAAAAGAATAAAACTATCAGACAAAAAGATCTTCATCCAAAACCTTAACACATACAAGCCAACTATCTAATCTTCAATGCAAACCTTTTAACTAATAGAGGAATAACTACACATCCTCCAACATGTGTGTGCATCCATTGATGTGCTTGTTCCAACTGTACAGCAAACATGGGAAAGACTGTAGAGAGGTGCACCAAAAATACTATTTGATCAACACTAGAGCCAAAAGGCCAGTATACACTCGCTACAGTTACCCAAAGGGGGTTGTGGTCGATCTCTTCTCCCATGTAAGTAGTGATAAGACCAGAGGGAACAGCATCCAGCTGCATCAGGGGGGATTCAGGTCAGACATTAGGAAACAACTCTTCTCCGAGAGCGTGGAGTCACCAGCCCTGGAGGTGTTCAAGAAATGTTTTGATGTTGTTCGATGCACATGGTTTAGTGGGAAACATCGGTGAAAGGTAAGCAACTGGACTGGCTGTTCTTAGGGGTCTTTTCCAACCTTGGTAATTCTGTGATTCTCACATTAAGATTAGGACTTAACTGTCTTACTGGATTAATTTCATTTCTTTATTTTCTCTATTATGCAAGAGAGATGGTGCCTGTACTGTGGACTAGATAGCGTTAAATTTATGCAAGAATAATTATGTCTCTGTTCAGAAAATGCAAAGATATTGAGAGCTCCTGTTTTTCTAAATAAATATGGCACCCAAAATTTCCCACATCCCTACTTATAATCAGGACAATTCAAGAAAAAGTAGCTCCTAGGATGAGCAAAGTGAAGTGGAAAACAGAACTCTGTTTTCTCTAGTCTCCAACAAAATTGATGTATTCCTGGAAATGTCATCCAGTTACAGCTTCAGTATAGACCTGATATTTCCTGGGGAAAAAAAGAAAGAAAAAAAAAGAAAAAAAACCCCGCAAGTTATGCAAAAGCATAGTTTTCAAGGACATTTTTACAGCAAGTGAACAAAACTTCAAAGTCAACTCAGAGTTTCAGTATAAGATTGGCTCCCTCTGCCTTTTCAGCAATGACTGACATATTTTCTCATGTGACAGTCAGCTCTGTTTGGAACTATTGTTTCAGTTTCTGTCAGCTCAAACTGACAACCCCACAGCAGTTTATTCTATCAGAAAAGCCGATTAATTATTTTCAAGTAGCTGCTTGGAAATTTTATAAAAGTCTACACCTGCAGAATCTGAAAGCAAACAACAGGAATAGCCTGTATTCTCCAAAGGCACTCTGTGACCACAACTTTCTGTTACTCCATATGAGAACACTGTCCTAAGCTGACATAGAGAAGACAGAGTAAAGTAACTGAACTGCCACATAGACTCTTCCTGATGCCAACTCATATCTAAAAGCTGAGGAAAAAATACACTCCCAGTGACAGCTCTGAAATAAGTCAATGTGTGACAGTAATCAGTTCTGTTCTACCAAGTCAAGTTCCAGAAAAGGGAAGAGGTTTTTCAGGCTATGTACCCATACCGTCAAGCAGTGAGAACAACGGCACAAAGTCACACACAGTCAGTTGCTCAGAAATCAAGAGTAGGGACATTCACAGGAGAGGAGAGCCGATGACCTAAATGAGGGCATTTCCAGTAATTGTGAGGAAATTCAAAAGATAAGGCTGGCTATAAAACGGTGAGAAGAATCAATAAAGCCTATGCCTGTACAAGATAGGTTAGCAGAGTTTTTGCAGGATCGTAGAGTCAGATAATAAATAGCAACTAACACACACAAAAAAGAGAAAAGGAATCAAATCACAGGATGACAATGAGACTGTTTCAAACTGACTGCTAGTACATGATAAAAATCAAAGTAAGAACCAGCACACGTGTAATCTCAGTGCTATCTGCTGGAGTAAGAGACAAATGAGTGGCAGGGTCTATGATGGGAAAAATGTGTTTCAGAGCCATATCACATCCAGAACAAAGACTAAATGCGCAGAAGAGAGTGAGCAACAAATATCCCTACCACTGATAAAGGAAAAACTTCTCTTTGTGACACAGAGCTTTTCCTCAGACAGTTCACAAGAACAAGCAATCAGAAATGAGACTGGAAAAGGCTTTAAGAACTTCTGGATTGCAAATATCACTAACAGAAAATGGGCATTTCCTTTCTCCAGATTATCCTTAGCTGGAAATCTGTAACATCCAGCAGTACTGAAGAAGCTGTTCTGCAACCCAGAAACAGGAATGTGAAAACTGTTGCCTATCAACTCAGAGAAGAATAGTAAAGAATGAAAAAGGTTGGAAGAAATAAGCAAACAAAAAAAAAAAAAGGAGGGGAGGGGGAATAAAAGTAGAAATGAGAGAACAGGAAAGATATGGAGAGGAAAGAATTGTGTGTTGTGAGGGAACGAATGAATAACAAGAAAGCTAAGAGATGGGAGACAAACAGAGGACCTGTAGGTATGTAATATTTGGATGGAGCCTCTTCTCCATAGTTCAGGAAGAATTCAGTAATGTATAAGATCAGTGGCTTAAATGCAGCCTGAAGAGACACCTCAGTAGAGTCAGAGTGGACAAGTAACAGAGGTAACAGTAAACATCCGGGACAGAAAAAAATACTTAAACAGAGGCAAATAAAGGATAAGATCATGACAGTGAAGAAGTAGCAGATGAGCTACCAAATGAGGAACTGAGATTAGAAGGCAGGTGGCAATAGGATTGAATTTATCAGAATGGCAATGCTGTGACAAGGAAAATAGGACACTTAGAATACAAAAACAGAGATCTGATGCATAGTCATGTACAAGTGATTTAGAGAAGATGGATGAAATTAAAGTAACTGATCAAGTGGAAGCTGATAGAAAATTTTAGGCACTACATGGATAGGAAAATCGTGCCTATTAGAAGAGAACTGAAGGGAGACAAAGTCAACAGCATCAAGAGATGCAACAGACCAGGGAGTTTAAATTACACCAAATCATGGGGCATGTGTGGTGACAGCCAAGGAGGAGAAAAGAAAGGTAGCACAGTGCTGCAAGGGCTGTTTCTGAGGAGATGATGTTAAAACATTGAGCACAGTGAGCGTACTGGTATGCTCACAGGTAACGTCATCTAGTTTCAAGAGTGAGCAGAACTCATGTTTCAGCAGGTAACACCTCTGATTTGCCTGCCTCTGAATTTCAGGACTTCCAACTCATTCACTTGGAGCCCAGCCTCTGGGCTGCCAGATGGGCTGGCATCAGGCCACCACGCTTCTTTCAAGTGCTCCCCTAAGAGGCTCCACTGGCTCAGTTTTCTCAGCTTCTCCACTCTCCACTTACAAGCCAGCACCTATCCAAAGCTTTGATTCCCATTTGCCCTTGGCTACCACAGTGTAGCTATCATTTCTGTTACCTTCATTTGTCACCTACTGAGTTGACAAATCGACTGCTACAACAGCAGGGATAATCCACAACCTCAGCACAGTCCTAAGAAGCATTTAAAAATTAACACGAACTTTCTCTTCTGGGTTAAACAAAAGGCAATGACAACAAACTCTTCTAGTAGCCTTTCTGAAGGATGAAAAACAGCTGCTCCAGAGGAGTTAGATGCAAAGTTTGTTTGATTCATGCACTGTAAACTTGAACAGAGAACAAAACCTGATGTAATATATAAAATAATTCCCTCTACATGCCCCTTCTAGATCTCAATAAGCTTCGTGACTTCCAGCAACTAAAGGGAATAGCGAGGTGTAGACAGGATATGGGAACAAATCATTTAAACGACAGAAACACTGAGTCTCCTGAGTACAGGGGAAAAAAATCACTGCCAAAGTATGGTTTTGGCTGCCATCATCTCCTGCCCTGCCTCAGTGTCTGAATTTATTCAGCACATCTCTGAGGCCAGTGATGACTGAGGAGCTGGGCTCACTGGACATCAGGTGAGCTTCTGGCAGAGTCTGGATATTTACAAGCCCTGAGTGAAGGTTTCCTGCGAACCCAGCACGCGCTGTGTCTGCACCTCGCCTCGCTGGGGCTCCGATGCTCTTAATCTTCACCCCTTCAGAATTTTATGACTAGCAGCCAGTTCTAATAGCTGTAAAGGTTCCCAGACGTGGGCGCACAGACACGACAAAGCTGAGGCGCAAAACATTCAGCAGCGACTCAGAGGGAAGAAAAAAAAAACAGTTCTGACAGTAGAACTAAATGAACCAGCCTGAAAGAGCACAAAGCCGGGCTGCGACGTAGTGCCCCGAGCAGGCTCCCTCTCTAAATTCTCGAGCGTCACATCTCAGACGCAGACGGGCAGCACCCGCCACGTGAATCACATGGGCACGGGGCCGGGGCAGCAGGACGCACGGCGGAGCGCAGGGAGCCAGCAGCTGGCGGCCGGTCCCGGCTGCGCGGCACCAGCGGAGCGCGGAACCGCGAGCCCCGCACGACACGGGACAGAGCCAGCGGGCCCGGCCGCCGGCAGCCCCGGCCATGTTCCACCCCGCCGCCCGCCGCCACCCGGCGCTTCGCAGGTGGGGAAAGCCCCGGCGATGGCGCTCGACTCCCGAGGCGCCGCCCGTGGGAGCGCAGCCACCGCACCCCGAGGGAGGTGTGAGGGCGGGAGGGGAGCGGCGGGGCGGGCAGGGGAGGAGTGAGGCGGAGGGCCGGGCTGCCGGGCGCCGCAGAGCGCCGGGGCCGCGCTCCCGCCGCCCCGACTCCGCCGGAGCCGAGGGTCCCGCCGCCGCCGAGGTCTCGCTATGGCTGGCCGCCCACCGCCCAGGTAGGGCCCCGCTCTCCGCCCCTCCCCGAGCACCGCCGCCGCCTGAGGGGAGTAACGGCCCCGCGCGCGCCGCGCCCCGCTGCGTAACGGCTGCGGGCGGCGCGGCGAGGAGCGGAGCGGAGCTGTGCGCCCGCCGATCCCCGTCGCCTGCCCGGTGAGTAACGGCCGCGGGTGCCGCCCGCTGAGGCGTTCCCGGAGTCCCTTACCCCGCACGGGAGGTGGCGAAGGAGCGGCAGCGCTGTTCCACCGCCGTACCGGGCGGGGGGGGGGCGGAAGAGACGCTCGGTTCCGAGCCGGGCGGCGCCTCTCCCGCGGGCGCGGGCGGCACTGGGCTGCGAGGGGCCGCGGCCGCGCCGGGACCTGCCCGGAGGCGCGCAGCCGCCCTGCCTCCCTGCCGCGCGGATAGCAGAAATTAAAGTGAGAAAACGAGGATTTGGTCCTTTCTTTTCCTATAACAGCCGATTTTCCTGCTCTAGCGGTGAGTTGATCGATGCTTAATAAAATACTTTCGGGATATTGTGCTCCTATGGGCGTACGTCCCCTACTAAATCTGATGCTCTCGGTGATAGAGGACCCTACGGCCGCTGTGCTGCCGCTACCCGAGATCCACCGAACCGCGTTTATAGCACTTACGCAAAACCCATCCGCGGAAAACTTCCTGCAAGAAAGAAATCGATGCTCAAAGAGGAGCAGCCTGCTGGAGATACGCGGTGCAGTTAGGCATTATCTTCTACATTCACGGCTACATTGTGTTGTGATGATAGCTGGCAGGTAAAAGTAGCATAGAAATCGTATCATCTTATACTTTTATCTCCAGCACAGCCTGTAGTATATGCTGCAAATGACTTGGGTTTGTTTGGGTTGTGTGGTGCCCGAAGAGAGAGAGCAAACAATATTAGGAAAAAGTTTGGAGAAAACACCATCTTAAAGAGGAAGGTGGTGAAACAATACAGAGCTGCCTGAATATTCAGCAGGGATTGGTTGCACGCATTTATATGAGTGATAATTGCTTGTATGAGAAATTGCTTTTGCAAGAAGAATAAAAACCTTTAAAGCAACATCTGGAGGAGAGCTAACTTAATTGGTTTTCAAATCAATAGTTATTTACAGACCAAAGCTTAATAATGCTGTTATACTTGAGTCTGAATTGCCTGGCCTAGGAATAGCCCTCACCCTGAACGTTTCAGGATGAAGTTAAGAGAACATAAATATTTTTAACTCATGGCTAATAGTTCTTCTGTGCAACTTCCATACACTGAATACCATGATGATTTTACAAACAATAGTGCTTTTTTGAAAGCCGAAATCAGGGAGACTCAGACTGAAGATCTCTTTGTCCTTAAATGCAATCTGATCTGTCATCCTTTATCCAATACAAAAGAAAAATTGCAAAACAAAACATTGACGCTAGTAATATGGGTAAGAATAAGACATATTGCAAAGAGAAAGATACTGAGTCAGATAGCATGCTGCTTTCTATGCTTGTGGTCTTGCTTTCATTGTTCAACACTCATCTCCTCAGAGCAATACAACCATCTATCTTCTGATCCCATACAACTGTTGCTAAGCTTTTTACCACTGTACAGAGCACCTGGAGAAACCAGACCTACTCTAGACTTCTGCCATCAGCTCTTCACTTTTGCTAGGCCTTTTACCTGGAAAACACACTGTATTTCTGTAGCAAGTCCCAGAGTTAGCTTGCATACCTCTTCCTTACCAAGCCATAATTTTTCCTCCTGCTTCTTAAGTCTGCCTTCTTTACAACTGCAGGCCTCTTCTTCATCCCTTTTATCTCCTGCAGCTGGTATGTTGACAGCTGCTTGTTATTTGTTAATCAAGGTGAACCTCTATTTGCTGAAGTATGTAAGCTTTATACTTTCCATCTATGAAAGTTGATGATTGGAGCAGTGATCATTCATTCAGTCTAGGAAGACTTTGGTGGGAAAAAAAAGCTTGCTGGGAAGCTTTAGGACAGATAATTTCTCTTCATACACCTTTAGCTCACCATATTCCACCTACCTCTTCTGAAATGTTTCAGTTACTTTAATGGAAAACTATAGCAGCTGTCAAGAAGCACAAACAGCAAACGTTGGTGTTTGGGAAGTAGCTGTATAGACCTTACCAAAGGAAAAAAGTCTTCACTACCAAACTGTTATGGAATAAGTATTTTTTCACTTCTTCCCTGCAGAATCCCTTTGGACATTGGTTTGTTTCTGTGACTACTCTGCTGCTGATCTTAATCATGCACATTTAGCTTCCTAATGAAGGGCCTAAGCTCTGCCTTTCTTGCTGAATCACACACTGTGTTCAGTCCTTGAGTCCGGTATAAAGTTGGAGTGTGTATTAATTCCTGCTCTATACCTTCTCTTGCTTTGGCATTCATAGCTGAAGGCAAAACCATACAACTGTATCTGGATGCCTGCAGCTGCTGTGGAGCACAGCAGAGCAAGGTGGATGCCTTTGGGCATTCACAGCTAAATTACTTTCCAGCAGTAGCTCTTGGGGTGAATGCTTACCCTGGGGATCAGATGAACAGCTGCATGGGACTGCACAGAACTGGTAGCTGTCAGTTTTCCTTCAAGCAGCTCAAAGACATTTTTGACATCGCAGTTAAGCACCTGGAACCACAGATTATAACGATTTTTGTTGTTGCTGTTGTGATGAAGCAACAAAACTGCATTAAGCCCTTAAATCTTCCAGCTTGTGCTTTGCTTCTTTAGAACAGCAGGAATTAAAACACTTGGATTATTTACATATAAGCCAGGAACTACTCTGCTTCCGTGCCCTGTATAAACCACTGACTATCTGGAATGCTGTTGCACAGTGGCCTAAGAAGGTGCTATCACTCCAGTTTGGTAAAACTGCAGTTTCTCTGCTCAAGCTTCTGAAACTAATCCTATAGACATACACAATTTTTGGGCAAGCCTATATATCTGAAAACCATATTAGCTGACAAAGAAATATGAGTCTTCAGGCACTTGTCTTTTGGACTGGCACAGACCTCCAACTCATTTTTTTTTTTTTTGTGAAAACTGGAAAGAAAAGGAAGAATAGGAAGTGTTCTTCATCTGAGAATCAGAAACAACAATGCAGCTTAGGAGCAATACTGGACTGAGCAGTAATTCAAAAGATTTAAAATGAATTCCCACAAACCACAGATGAGAAATAGCAGATTTTATACTTTAAACGGTGAAAAGACAAGTCAAAGTATGGCTGCTATTTCTTATACACTCTCCATGTAGTACAGAAAGTTTTGTATCACCAACATAGAACGAAGCATCTTCGGTACTTTGTAGTAATGCCTGGTGTTGCAGACTTAAGCTCACAGAGCACTGAGAATGGCTAAGAAAAGCCTTTCTGATTTTATTGGTCTCTGTTGGAAGCCAAGCACTTTTCACATTTGATCAGTATGCTAGACCTGATCGCAGGTGCAAAGAGAGAAGTTAAAATATTCAAAGCTAAGATCCAAGAGCTGCTGTTGTATCAGAGGTTTCTTACAGTCAGTAGGCGTGTGGCCCTCACTCATTTGCTTGGCAAGTTGCGCAGTAGCGCTGATGTCCCAGACTTCAGCTGACATCTGTTCCTGTAGTTCAGCAAAGCAGCCCAGGTTTTGTATAGGAGAGAGAACAGATTTGTCGGCTTTGTACTAAAAGGGGAAAGGATGCATTTAGGAATAACTGTTAAAAAAAAACTTCGATCTTAAAAGGAGACAAAATTGCAGGCAAAATTATGAAGTTCAACAGCAAAGGAATTAAGCTAGATCTAACAGTTTCTTTGGAAGAATCATTAAGGAGTTTAAAAACAAATAAACAGCAACAAAACCAGAACAGGATATAAACCAACAGGGATCAGTACTGGGAATTAATTTTGAACCACTGCCGGTGATGAGTGAAAAGAAGTAAGGAAGGACCAAGGCACTTGGGGTGGTGGGTGGTGGTTGCTGAGACTGCATAGCTTGGGGAGCCATTCTCCACGTTTCCACCTCTGTGAATAGTGGAAGAAGAAATATATTAAAAATCTTTAAATAAAAGAGGGCAAAAGTAAAAATCCTCTAAACAAGAGTGTAATGACAGAAGTGTTGTTATTACCACAGTAACTGCATGCATTAGAGTGGTAATTAGTGTCACAAGTTTAATATTTGCTTTTATATTTATTTTATATTTATTTTATATATGCTTAATATTTGCTTTTCATTTGCAACTTAACATACGAATTTTCCATATGTTTTGATTGGAGTGGCCAGAAGATGTATCTAATGTGCTCATTTGGGAGATTTGCCACCTTCCTACAGTGTCACCTTGTATTCGCAGTTTCCAATGAGTGGTGCAATTTTTGAAGTGACCTGCTGCATTCTGTTTTCATGTTTTCAATACTTTAATCAGTTCATTAATGTGTCTAACCTACACTGTCAGAGAGACAACAATTCTCAGAGAGACATTTTCATCAGTGAGACCAAAAAGTTTGGGTAAAAGCAGAAGGAGCTGGAAGTGTCCACGTTTTTCAGTCTGTGCATGAGAAATCTGATCTCTTGAGGTGTGGGGCTGTGAGGGAAAGGAAGAAAAAAATGTGCAGAACATATATTAGTGTCAGTTTTATAGCTGTCTGTATTTTGTTCTTGTGCTGTTCATTTTGTGTGTGTTTAGGTTGTGAGTCTTTCCTGTAATGATGATGGCTTACCAGGTTAGCAAGCTTTTGCCATCTTTTTCCTCAGCCCCAGGTTAATTACTTTATTCTTTCTAATTAAATGTCATTTATTAAGCTAAGCCCATAGTAGGAGTGAGTCAGAATTAGGCCAGTGGGAACCTTTATCTGCACTGTGGATAATAAACCCCAGCGCTAAAACCCACTTCAGATCACTACCTGATGCAGCTGTCATTCCTCATCTACTTGAGCATATGAACATCAGAAATTATAGCACTCACTAAAGAGCTGTATTTTAAACCATTAATGGCACCTAAGCAGGGAGAAGTGAGGACAGTAAGTCACATATTGAGAGAACAGAGTGCCTTGGGAGCCAGAGGTGCTGCAGAGCCAGAGCAGGCTGAGAGGAGAGGCTGAGAGCTCAGTCAGGTGAGGGTAGTGGTCTGAGATCACAAGGGTGCTGGCAACAGTCCCTCCAGTTAACAGTATTCTGTGTTAAACATTTATCGAAGCTCGTTCTGGAGTGCTGCAACTGTCTCTCAGAGCCAGTATCTGATAGTGGGGATACAGCTTCAGAATGAAGGATCTGGAACACAAGCAATAAATTTGAACTGAGTGTTCAAACCGCATGTTCTGAACACACACCCAGAGGTGGCAAAGTAGTTTTAGCTTTCGCACAGAAGGGAATTGAGTTAAAATGTTTTATACAGCAGAATAATAGCATTAGTTACCAGCTTACTGAAGTGGCAGCTCCCTTTCTTTCCATGATCAGGACTGGGGCTGCACTCCCCAGGAGCTGGTCCATTCCCCTACCTATGTGCCTGCCCAACGCCTGCAGGAGCAATGGCATCAAAACTCCCCACACGTATGGGGACCTTAGTATCAGGAACTTAGGGGTGGAATTTTTTAACCTCCTCTTTATCAGTGCATTAAGTAATTCTTCAAATTACATGTACAGTACGCTTGCCCTTCTCCCAGCTTCAGACAGGAAAAATGCAGAGTGGATGTTGTTTTTCTCTTTACAAATAGTGCAAATTCGGTACACACAGATTAATATTATGATTGCTGGTATTTCTTTGGTGCCGTGTATAAATTTTAAACCATCTTTTTTAGGATTTTGCATAGTCCTGTCAACCTTGGAATATTTTCATTAATCTCTTTAGTTTCCCTCATTAATTTCTTCACTTCAAGACTTGACTGATTATTAATATCTGGCTGCTGCCAATGCTGATGACACGTAATGAATAGTCAGCACTTTTTATCAAAGCTATGTTTTCTCTTGCTTTTGGCATTGAAATTTATTGTATTCCTAATAAATTCTGATTGACTTCTACCAAAGAAAAATGCCTTTCTAGATCTCAATTAAATTTAATCTATTGCTAACAGAAAATATTTAAAAAAATCGAACACAGAACCTGATGCTGCAGTGAGTATTTCCCAGTTAGTGAAACACAGAACTGGTCATCAAGTCCTGTATAACTCTAACCAATTCATCTTAAAGCAGGGTTCTGCGCTCTGTGCTCTGTCTCTGAGCTGTCTGCTTGCACCAGCAATTACCACCTTGCAAGTATTACAGGGGTCATTCATTACTGCGAGAGGTTCTGGTTTAGTATGTGAATTGCTGACAAACTGGAATTCACTAAAAAAAGCATCTTTGTGTTACACTTAAAAGCTCTTAAAAATAAAGCTGCACAGAATTTAGGATTCCTAGAATTGGAAAACTGTTTACTGCTTTCCCAAAAACTCCTTAGCCAACCATGTGGTGGATATTGTATAGAATTTGTTGCTTTATAACAACTGAGTAGCCAGTTAAATTTTTAGGTTTTTGTTTTTTCTTCTTTCTTCAGTGAGGTTAATTTTGTTAATGAAGTAGCAGTGCAGTATATATGGCTTATCCAGAAAGCTTGAGAGTAGCATTTCAGCCAAATGACAGAACAGCTGTAGAAGGAAATGCATTCAGCAGCCCAAGGAGGTTGCTCAATATTGCTTTGAGCAGTAATCCTAAGTCACTTGCTCTCATACACAGCTTGCTCCAAAAGTAATGCCTCCTATTTATTTCCATGGAAACTGCAACAGATACGAGGAGCACAATAGCGCTATTTGATAGAGCAAATTCTCAGCTACAAAACACTATTTTTGAACATAGTCACCATCGTTAACTAAGCATTTTCACCAGCAATGAATGTGAGCCTGCATACTGCACTCATAAAAATCTGCACCAATGGAGGTTACCCACTGCTACTGCTGTAACCACTGATGGAATGTACCACCTGCCGCCTCACTGCGCTCACATCCACTGTTTGGTCTCCAAAAATATTCAGCAGAATGTCAGTGGGTGAAACTTTTTCTGCATGGAGGAATTCAGTTCCATACCTTTGCTTCATACTCACTTCCATGTCAGACGCCATTCTGTCAGGCTGCCCCTCTGCTGCCATCTGTCACACAGCAACAAAATACAACAATAATGGCAGGAAGGTTCAACCTCTGCTGCCATCATGGGCCAACATAATAAAACAGTAGGAATTACTTTTGGAGCAGCCCTTGTAGTTTTTCTACAGTGAGTGTA